CCTTCCTTCCTTCCTTCCTTCCTTCCTTCCTTCCTTCCTTCCTTCCTGCTAATATATAAAGTTTAGATTCTGCCTCTTGTCAACCACCAGCCTTTCCATTTGTAAATATGTACAGAAAGTGCTAGGCTGGGGGAGGGAAAAATAATTTTTGTGCTTCCACGACGAACTAAAGAGTCGTCTCACTTTGGATCCTGCTAGGACTTCTAACTTCTACAACACATCTAGAGGTAGTCCTTGACTTACGACAGTTCATTTAAGTGTCCGTTCAAAGTTACAACAGCAGAGTTATGACCGTTTCCCACACTTACGGCCATTGCCGCATCCCTAGGGTCATGTGATTTACCTTGGGACGCTTGGCCACTGGTTCATATTTACGATGATCCACTTAACAAACAGGGGCGAGAAAAGTTGTAAAATGGGGCAAAACCCACTTAACAAATTTCTCACTTAGCAACATACATTCTGGGCACAATTGGGGTCGTACTTCGAGGACTAGTTGTATTAGGCATTAAGGTTAAAAAAAACAGACTCCTGGGCTCAGCAAACATTCTTGGCCTGCTCTCTACCCTTCCAAATTCTAAAGATGTGGGAGATGATTTATCATTTCAAGCGGTCTTCCTCAACCCACCGAGCAGAATTAAAACAAGACTATCTGTTTAATGACTTCATCGCTGTTGTATTAGACCAGAGTTTCCCAAACGTTTCCCCTTCCAAAAGTGCTTTTCAGAAACTCTTTTATCAACTCGGAGAGCTAGTTATGAGTTCCCTTCCTCCAGCCACCGTCGTAACTTCAAACAGTCGCTGATCAAACAGACGGAATTTGAGGTCTACCAGGATTTTAAAAGTGAGATTCCCAAACTGATCTTAAATATCATTTCAACACAATTACCCTTGGGGATTGGATCAAATTTTCATCTTAATAGAAATACTTAGATGTTCAAACATAGTTTAGAACACTTAGATGAACTTAGACGTTCAAACATAGTTTAGAACACAAGGCAGACTTTTAATTCCATTTAAATGTCCCTTTTGAGATGGGTAGTGGGTTCGTGGATTGTTCACCCAATCTTAAACCACGTTTAACCCAGGTTTGTAAATCATTGCATTAGATGTCAGACTTTTTGGTTGGGGAATTCTGGGAATTGAAGTTCACACATCTTCAAGTGGCCAAGGTTGAGGAATACTGCTCTATAAATACTGGATTTCGGAAAAAATCCATTGTTACCCCTTCGTTTAAATATCCAGGGAAACTGACCGGTACATGCCTGTTCATGCAAAGCATGTTTAGCTGTTAAGAAACTACAATCCTAGGAAAATGCAGATTTTGATAAAACAGTGATTCATCTGCCTGAGTTTTATATATATACACACATACAACTATACCTGAATAAACGTAGTTTGCTTTTTTCTTTTTTCAAATGTATGACCCTGAACTATTATTAAACAAACTGCCTCCTAACACTGCACTTGTGAAAACAACTTTGCACTAACAGCAGCAGGTGAAATTTTCACATCCCAAAAAGAGGAACAAGCTGGAAAGACTAAAGAATAAAATGTGTAAGCCAAAGTAAGTTGCAAGTCTTTTTTTTTTTTAAATGCCCCTTGCAAATTATAAGTCATTTCTTTTGCAAAAAAAGAGACAATAAAGGATGCTTTGGTGTTTTCTCACCACGGAGGAATTAAAAAAAACGTTCTTTTTTTAAAAAAAGTTCATAAATATATAAACACGGGGTTTTTTTTAAAAAAACCGACCATTTACAAAAAAATACATTTTATTGTTAACCCTACTGACTCTTAGATCAAGATTCCACTTTGCCAAACTCTTTTAACAGCAAAACCATAAAGTTTGCCTTTTTTTCTCTCTCTCTCTGGGTGACAAGATATTTCTCCAAAACAAAATGCAAGTCAACCAGAGGAGGAAAAAAATAAATAAAAGATTTTGCACCCTATTTGGTTCATCGGGGAGTTGAGCTAGATAAAAGATTTTTTTTTCTTTAAAAAAAAATATCTCCATTTTGTAATAAAATAAAAACCCAATGGACTCTTTTTTACAGGCAACTCAAAAGATCGAAAGGAGCTGGTGTACGAGGAAAGAATTCAGGCCAAAAGTGGTTGGTTTTCATAAAACGGTAGCAGCATCGCTCGATTATCCAAAAGATAAGTCCAGATGGGGGGGGGGGGCAGGGGGCGGAATTGAGCCGCAAGGAAATTGCAAATCTAAAATATATCAATTGCACACTTGAACAAGCAATCAGGCCAGGACTGGCTGTGATCTCTCTGGCAGCAAACGCTTTTCAAAAACCACCTCTTGGGGTCCAAATTTATCAGCATCAAAAATATCCTGGTAGCAACTCAAAGGACTTGCAAGCTAAAATCCACCCACCGTATGAATATATATATATTGTGGCTCGGCTACATGCAAACCTAGTTGCAATTATTAGGATGGTGATTTCTTGCAAGTCCTTGAGTTTCCGCCATTCTGGTCATGCCGGTTTCTTGTCCATGCCAGCTCCTAATTCTAGTCTGCTTGTCAAACTTAACATTGACGGACAGTTCCTGAAGCAAACTTTAACTCCCTTAATCTTTCCTCCCTGCGCTTATGGAGCTGGGAAGGTTGAACAGCCAAGGCTATCTGCCTTTTGGGCTGCGGAGTCGGTTTCCTAAGCAGAAAGGATGCCAGCTTGTAGCTCTCCGCTCCTTCTCCATCCTTCTCATGGTCGGCCTTGCAGCCTTCTGAGGAGGAACCAAGCTCTCTTACTCGGTGCTCAGGATTCGCGGCCCTCCATGAGGGAAACGTGGTGACCACCTCTCCTTGGAGAACCTCAAGGCAGCTGCATTTCAGGCAAGTCTTGTAGGCTGCATGGCTGCCCTTGTAGGTGATGGCTGGGGGGCTGCGGGTGGTGGAAGTAACCCAGGGTGGCAGTCTGTTGAGGTAAGGGAGGTTGCTGGAATAAGTGCTGGTTCTGCCCCGGTTCAGCTGCGCTTGGCATCTGTAAGGAAGAGAAGATTGTACATGAAGCAGCTTCAAAGGACACGTCTATGGAGGTTCTCAGTCCTTCAGGTCGTGGTTGTCCCAAAGGTGCTTTTGTTTTTTTCAAGGGACAACTGGACCTTCTGTTTTTTTCTCTGAAGAGGTTTCACTTCTCATCCCAAAAGCTTCCTCAGCTTCTCTCAAAAGCTTCTTCAGCTTCTCTCAGAGCTGAAGAAGCTTCTCGGGTGAGAAGCAAAACCTCTTCAAAGAAAAACCAGAACGTCCAGCTGCCTCTTGAAATTAAAAAAAAGCACCTTTGGGTTTCTCTGCCAGGTTAGTGTTCAACTCTTGAATGGAAGGTTTTGTTGTATGTTGGCAAGGGTTAGTTGTGGGTCTTGTGATCTTTGAGACGACCAAGCTGAAGACTGTTGACCTGTCCTTTCTCTATCAAAACGTCACATGGAGGGCATCTCCTTGAAATGGTATAGCCCTATGCCATGCCCCTGTTGGAGTCTGACTCCAAGGGAGAGGACAAACAGCTGACAGGGAGTGGAAGTGTGGCTCTGGAGGTTGTGGAGAAAACTGAGAAAGGGCACAGGCCGGCTGGGCAGTCAGAGGAAGACCCAGGCCCATTCCCTCTCCATCCTAGGGCACACAGGGAGGAGAGATAGGGAGAAATGTGAATGGCATGGTCTACAGGGAAGGAAAGGGCCCTGATCCCCTTCATGGGCTGCAGCTGGGAGGACTGTTTAAAAGGACATGGCCCAGTGCTGGAAGCAAAGCATGCATTATTCTTGTCGGAACTTATCTGTGTTTTGGCTTCCTCCCAACCGTGTGGCTGCATAATCTGGAAGATGTCTGCAATTAATCATCCTTGTCTACTATAGTAATTCCTTCAGTGTGGTTTGTGTCAAGTTTTTTTTTATTTTGAATTAACTTTACTTTGGGTGTGGACTGCATTTACTCCCTCTGTAAACTGTTTTCTTTAAGAGTTTGATTTCCAGCCCAGGATAATTGGACATTGGGGCCAAGTTGGAGGCATTAAAGAAACTTTATTCTATTTTGGGGATTTGGTTATTTTTGTGTCATGCCCCGGGTCATCGCACCCTATCACCACCTTCCAGAAAGCCGTTCCCAAAAATAAACAAAAATAGCACTCGATTAGAAAAACCAAGACGTGGAAAAAGTTATGGCAACTTGAAAACAGGCCCAGGAATGTTTTACGAGTTGACACGATGCTGATTTCTTTATCGACTGTCGCATCTTGCAAAACAATGACCTGGAGGTAAAGGTGATGTTGTTGAACAGGCTGCGGCGTCCACTGGTGGAGGGTGCCAGCTGGATGGCTCTGTGGGACAGTCACGCTGGGTTGGGGCATCATCAGAGAAGGGGTGAAGCCAGGAGACGGGATAGAGGCTCGGATGGCCGTGCACGTGACGGGTTGCATCTGGATGGCGGAAGGCAGACTCTGTGGCTCTTGGGTAAACCTTCCGAGGGGAGAAAAAATGAAAAGCTTGATGAAGAAACAGAAACGGAAGGCTTCACATCCCACATCAAAACGAGATAGCTGGATTTCATGGAGAGGCTCAGAGACATGCCTTTAAATAGAGCTCGTGTCCCCCAAGCTTGGTGGTTTTAAGACTTGTGGACTCCAACTCCCAGAATGCCCCAGCCAACTTCTGGGAGTTGGAAGGCCAGGTTTGGAGACGTCATAAATAGAAGAAGATCCAAGATTGGTGCAGTGGCCTAGAGGTGGAGCTCTCGCCTCAGAAGGCTGTGAATTTGATCCTAGGCAGAGGCAGATATTTCTCTGGGCACACTGAGAATATATCTGCTGAACAAAACCCTGCTCTGGTGACAAGAAGGGCATCCGGCCAGTCAACACTCAGCTCCATTCAGTTGCCCAAGACACCACTCCACAAGGGATTACGGCATCTTTAAAAGATAATGATAAATAAAAGAAGATCCAACAGGTAATAAAACAGGACAACTCCTTAGATCTATGACAGTCTTTCTTACACGGTACGCAAGAAAGCAAATTGGGATGAACCCATATAGGGATTTTTCAATCAACACCGAAAGATTTTTGCTCATTTAAGGGATTTTTTAGAAGAGCTTTCAATTTATGGACCTTCAAAGTAACGAGGAAGGTGAAGGAAGAACAGTTTAAGAATGGTTGCATTGTTACATCAGACTTTTTTTTCCTGGATCTCCAAGGAGTTGGTGAATCCATAAATAATCACCTTCTTTGGTGCAGTTGTGGGTTCCTGAACTAAGCAGAAAGTTTGATGAAGTAAAGGTCTAAAGCAGTGGTGGGATTCAGCCAGTTTGCACCAGTTTGGGAGAACCGGTTGTTAACTTTCTGAGCAGTTTGGTGAACTGGTTGTTGGAAGAAATCATTAGGGCAGAGAACCGGTTGTTAAATTATTTGAATCCCGCCACTAAAGTGCCTTTTGACTCAGTTAGGCCTCATCAAAACATTAGCAGGGCAGAAGTATGTTCCCACAAAGCAGCCAGTCAAAATTTACGACCTTTGCATCTGGAGAACCGTACAATGTTCAAGTCTGGCTTCACAATACACCAGTCTTTTGTTACGTTCTAGAAAATTCTACAGAATGTACATTTATTCAGTAGAGCAAGATTTCTCAATCTTGGCCGTTTTCAGGTACGTGGACTTCGACTCCCAGAATTCTTAAGCCATTGCTTAGAAATTCTGGGAGTTGAAGTCCGCTCATCTTCACTTGGTCAAGGTAGAGTCATCGTGATACGACAGTGGCTTACTTGGTCTGCTGTCTACTAGTGTTGCTTTGGGAGGTCTGACTGTTCCCACTCGTGCTGGACATCAATGACTGCACAGGTTGATCTAACAACATCCTGGGGAAGGAAAACAAGCACACACAACACACAACTGTGAGGAAAAATAGAACGATTTTCATGCAAGTTGCACCCATTTTGGACCGTAGGACTCAACAGAAGTCCAACAGGTCAGACAGAGCATCCCTTGGGACATTAGTCTGTGGAGATTCTCCATCATCTAGGTCATGGTTGTTCCCAAAGGTGCTTTTTTCAAGAGGCGACTGGACTTTCTTGTTTTTTTTCTTTGAAGACATTTCGCTCCTCATCCAGGAAGCTTCTTCAGCTCTGACTGGGTGGTGGGGAATGAAAGGATTTATATTCCTTGTAGACAGCTGGTCATTTGCATCCTTCTGGAGAGTTGTTGAGGACGCTTGGAGGTTTCTCTGTGCCCTTAAGATCATCTGAGTGGTGCAAATGGGTATGGAGCCTTTTTGGAACGGCTGGAAGGAGCTGTGTTGTTGACTGGAGATTGACGGTGTCCTATTTCCCTCCCCCCTGTTGAGTGAGGGCCGTTCAGTTTGGACTTAAATGTCCTATTCATCACCTCTTTCAAACCAGTCTGTCCAAAATGTGGACCTTCAAAAAGAGCGACCTGTGTCTTTTCAATGCAGAATCTAGTCTCGATGGGTTGGTCCTCCTATATCGTGCTATGCATTTATTCCATTCCCCACCATCCAGTCAGAGCTGAAGAAGCTTCTTGGATGAGAAGTGAAATGCCTTCAAAGAAAAACCCAGAAAGTCCAGAGATTGGACAAACTTTTGCTGGAATGGTATAGGGTCTCCCCAAGGTGGGAGACCCTATACCATTTTTTTTTCAGGAGAGGACTTTCTGGTTTTGTTTTTGAAGGTGTTTTATTTCTCACCCAAGAAGCTTCTTCAGTTCTGAGAGAAGCTGAAGAACAAGGGTCTTCAAACTTGGCAAGTTTAAGACTTGTGGACTTCAAACTCCCAGAATTCCTGAGCTAACATGACTGGAGGAGGAATTCTGGGTGTTGAAGTCCACAAGTCTTAAAGCTCTCAAGTTTGAAGACTCCCTGCTGAAGAAGCTTCTGAGAGAAGCTGAGGAAGCTTCTTGGATGAGAAGCGAAACCTCTTCAAAGAAAAACCTGGAAAGTCCAGTTGCCTCTTGCAAAAATCACCTTTGGGACATGGAACACTAGGTTCTCCATTTCCAGACGGTTGAACCGAGGGATGTTTTGCCACCCAAAACTACTCCTTTCTCAAGGCCCCTCCTCATCCATACCTTAAGTTTCCTTCTTGGTTGTAATCAGGTGGTTGTGGCCTCTCACCCAGTTCGGGTGGCATTGGAGAAGGCACGGGGAGAGGGTGGGTTTGAGTAAAGACCATAGGGTTGTTGTAGACGGGTAGGGAAATGCTCATCTGAATGGGCATGCACACCGGTTTGATCTGGCTTCCTCTCACAACGTGTTTTCGTTGTTGTGGTTGCCCCTGAAATCGAAACACAAAGGCCTTGGACAAGATATCATGCAGGATGCAGGGGTGGGGGTGGAATTGATTCAGAAGCCACAGAGATTCCTCTGACTTATGGCCAGCATCTCTGTCGCTAGGAAGGGTAGTTGTTCAAGTGAACCGCAAACTAATTTTTCCTTTCCTTTTCTAATTCGCGTGCTAAGGGTTCCCCTCTGAGCAAGTTCTCTCTCATCGGTGGAAAGTGATTGGAAGGCTATCTTGTCTGGGTTTTGAGAAATTTCTGGCCTTTGACTGGAATCACGATTTGATCGGACTGTCCCCGTGGGTTTATCTAGGGGAAATCAAACCCCTGATTGGCTTGACTGGCGTTGGGTAGGGAAACCACAGAGGACTAAATGGATCGATCAAAGAGAACGTAGCTCAGGGTTAAACTGTGGGGTCCTTGGTGTTTTCTTGGAGACATTTCATTATCCAACTAGGTAAAATAATCAGTGCTAGAAGGGAGGAGGAGGAGGAGGAGGAGGAGGAGGAGGAGGAGGAGGAGGAGGAGGAG